TGCCAGGTGGTGCAATGCTCAAAGTACTCAAGATCAATTTAAGTAATAGACTACATCTTGGAAAAGTGATGGCAATGTCCTTCAGAAGATGTATGTGAATCCTGAGCTTTTACCTTCCAGTCCTATGCCTGCCTTAGTAGAATATGAGTTCAACTTGCCTCTGTCAATGGCAGATTCAAAGATGCTAAGAAACTAGTATTATTTTTTGAGTAATCTATGTATAGTGGTAGGTGCACATTTGCATCTAATTTATATGAATCTGATTACATGAGTGAAATAGAGAATCGATGATTTCTAAGATTAGCATGACTGCATGGGAGAGGTTGGATAGCATTATGTTGAGTAAACTAATACAGTCTCATAAGGACAAGTATTGCATAAGACCATTATTATAAAAATAGAAGAATAACTAGTAAAACATGTATACAAACTCAAGGGGGGAACAGAAGGGTGAGGATAGGTAGGGTAAAACCACTGGGTGGCACACTTTGGTGGGTGGAGGGAGGGGGAAAGAAAATGGGAAGGATCAAGGCAAAAGGGTAAAGATAGGCAAGGTCCAATAGTGATTAATCATAATGCACCACAAGATAAAAGTAAACAATCCAATTGAAAATGGGCACAGGGTATGAACAGATACTTCACCAAAGTGAAAGACATTCAGATGGCCAACAAGCACTTGAAGAAATGTTCAAAATCCCTAGCTCTAACAGAGATGCAAATCAAAACAACTCACCATCTCACCCCAGTAAGATACCATAGACCATCTCACCCCAGTAAGAATAGCAAAATTTAATAAAACAGCAACAAATGCTGGCAAGGTTGTGGAGAAACTGGAACCCTTATTCACTGTTGGTGGAAGTGTAAAATGGTGCAACCACTGTGGAAGGCGGTGTGGTGCTTTCTCAAAAAGTTGCAAATAGCGATACCATATGACCCAGCAATTCCAATACTGGGAATATACTCCAAAGAGACCATAACTGACATCCAAGTAGATATATGCACACCCACGTTTATCATGGCTTTGTTCACAATAGCAAGGAGTTGGAAACAACCTAAGTGCCCATCAACAAAAGAATGAATAGAGAAGCTGTGGTATATTCCAACAATGGCATACTATGTTGCATTGAAAAGAAGGAACTCATGCAATATTATTCAAAATGGGTGACCTGGAGGACATTATGCTGAGTGACAAAACGACAAATACTGCATAGTGCCAATGTTGTACAACAGGATTGACATCGGGGTTGGGGGTAGACTGAGAAAGATGGGATAAATAATGTATACTGCATTGAAACAGATGAGGGAGAAAACTGTTTAAAAGAGATATGTGATTAGGTATTATTGTCATAACAGGAATCCAGAAGGAAGGCTGCATAGTGGAGTGGACCTGGGGGGAGGGATTGTAAAACAATGAAATAATTTTTCTTTTACTTTTCAAAGAGAAGCGTGTACTGGGAGGTGGGTGGGCAGAGAGAAAAGTGCAACAATGAATGTATGGAAATCCATAGTCTCTGTAAATTTTCATTAAAATGAATAATAATAAAAAATTTTAAAAACTGATAATGCATGAAAATGATTTTATAAAACACTATGTGAATAGTATGAAAAACAATGTACATAAACTTTATAAGCAACCCAATTTTAAAAGAGTAGAATGTATGTGAATGATTGTATGAAACACATGTAAATGAAAGATTGTATAAAATACAATGTATATGAACTAAACATAATGTAAAGGAATTATTATAAGAAAACCAATAGAAAATATATTTTAAAAAAATAAATCTAGTGTTCCCTTCGGCAGCATATATACTAAATGTGGAACGATACAGAGATTAGCATGGACCCTGCGCAGGGATGAAACGCAAATTTGTGAAGTGTTCCTTATTTTTTCCCCAAAAAACAAATATTTGAAAAAAAGAAGAATGAGGACGTGCCTTGAACTGGATTGAATAATTTACGTTCGAGCCACTCCAGAGACATGCTTAAATAGAATATATTTATGAGGAAGAAATGAAGAACAAGATATGCGTCTTGAATATTTACAGAAACTTCACTATAAGCATGAAAACTGGCTAATACATAGAACACTGAAAAGCAACTTTGATTATTGACAAGAAATGACAAAAAACAAGGCCCCAGGAATTGATGGTATACCAACTGACATATTCCAACAAACAGATGCTGCCCTGGATGTGCTCACCAAGTTGTGCCAAGAAATCTGAAAGACAATCACCTGGCCAACTGACTGGAAGAGATCTATATTTGTTCCCATTCCAAAGAAAGGTGACCCAACAGAGTGCAGAAATCATCTAACAATATCATTAATATCACATGTAAACATGATTCTGCTGAAAATGATCCAAAAATAACTGGAAGAGCACATCAACAGAAAACTGCCAGATATGCAGGCTGGGTTTAGAAGAGGCTGTGGTATGAGGGATATTATTGCTAATGTTAGATGGATCTTGGTTGAAAGTAGAGAGTACGAGAGGAATGTCTATCTGTGTTTCATTGACTATGTAAAGGCATTTGACTGTGTGGACTATGGCTAACTCTGAGAAGAATGGGAATTCTAGAACATTTGATAATGCTTATGCGAAACTTATACTTGGACCAGGAGGTAGTTGTCAGAACAGAGCAAGGAAACACCACGTGGCTCAAAATCAAGAAGGGTGTATGTCAGGGATGGTCCCATCTTCATACCTTTTCAATCTATATGCAGAAAGAATCATCCAGGAGGCTGGGCTCTGTGAGGAGGAGTGTGGCATCAGGATTGGAGGAAGACTCATTAACAACCTATGTTATGCAGATGACACAACCCTGCTTGCTGAAAGTGAGGAAGACCTGAAGCGCTTGCTGTAGGTCAATAACTACAATCTGCAATATGGATTGAAGCTCAACATCAAGGGGGAAAAAAGATTCTCACCACTGGACTGACTGGTATCATTATGATAGATGGTAAAGAGACTGAGATTGTTAACAGCTTTAGTTTGCTTGGCACCACAATCAACACTCTTGGTACCAGCAGCCAGAAAATCAAAAGATGAATTGATTGCATTGAGAAAGTCTGCTGTCAGGGACCTCTTCAGAGTACTGAAGAGCAACGATGTCAGTCTGGAGACTAAAGTGTGCCTGATCCCGCCCATAGTCTTCATAATTACTAGCTATGCATCAGAAAGCTGAACAATAACTAGGGATGACAGAAAGAGAGTTTATGCTTTTGAGCTGTGGTACTGGAGAAGAGTACTGAAGATACCATGGACTGCCAGGAGAACAAACAGGTTCATCCTGGATAGGGTTAAACCGGGCTGTTCCTTGGAGGCAAGTATCTGGAGGCTTCGTCTAACATACTTTGGGCATGTTGCAAGGAAGGACTAGTCCTTGGAGAGAGACATCATGCTTGGAAAGATGGAGAGACAGTGCAAGAGAGGAAGACTCGATGAGATGGATTGATTCATTGACTAGGGTAATGAGGATAGGTGTATCAGACACAGTAAGATTGGCACAAAACAGAGCAGGTTTCAAGGCCATTGTACATAGGGTTGTTATGAGTCGCAAGCGATTTGGCGGCACATAACAACAACAACAACAACAACAATATGAAAAA